AGGGGGGCATATGAGAGGTAGTAAATAAATGCAAAATCACAGGCTTGGTAAATTTTGTAAATTACAACATAACCGAAACTTTTTAAGTAGATAAATACAGGGAGAGAATAGAAGGAAGCAAAAGAAATAGTCACTAGTGAGCCAAAGTTGGAGATCGACTAAAAGTATTAAATCATTAGTCACAATCTATGGACGTAAACAACTCTTGGTCAGACATGAAATGGCCTTCTCTCTCAGTTGAAAACAATTTCTGTTTGAGCTTAAAATAAAAGAGCAGATAGATTCAAATATTATCCAGTCTGCATGAGAGCACAACCCACACTTGTGTATTGACATTTTAATTCTGACACTTTATAAAAAGATGATTTAGTGACAATTACTGCTAGGCATCTAGTGCACAGAAACATGCAAATAGTTGTGAAGGGCATTATCTATCTTTTGTAACACAGTATTGATTTGCCGTAACAATAATTCCTACCTGATAATCACAATCAGTAGAACTAGATGAATTTACCAGATGTAGGTTGTACTTTCATTAAAGTCACTGCTATGTTCAAACCTGTTGTTTTTGATTATTGGTGCTACCTTATCAATGCAGTGCTCCCTAATGAATAAAGTTAGAAAGTTTACTTCTGCTTCTAATTAATAACATTATTTCCCTTTTGTATTTAAGAATCCCAGATTGAACCTTAGTTTAAACAACATTGCTGTTTCAATTAGTACCAAGATAACAACTGGATATTGTTCCTTACTGATTTTGTATCATTTAAACTAAAACAGTTCTGTCTGGTGAAGAGGTATCCTTCCCTTTTTAACACCTCAGCTTTAGTTCAAGCTCATGGTAAAAGCTGGTTTTCATGCTGCACTTACCTCTGTATTCAATGGCAAATCCGGACATTCCTAGAGATGCATCAGACCGAAATGCCAGAAACAGGCTGTTTCCACTGCTTTCTATGCGTTCAGGGGCTTGGGTGCCTTGAAGACTTGAAAGTAACGGCCCATTGGAGTCTTCACCCTCATAGATGTGCAGGAAGTCATAACTTGGCTCCATGTTGAAACTTCAGGAAAAAAAAGAAAAGAAAAGAAAAGACAATCTAACTCATCAATCGGCTATGGCTGAGAGTTGATTGGACTATATCTAGTTTATTCTTCAGCTGAAAATCATCTTTTGTACTTTTACAGCATTAGAGAATCTTATGACAAGAAAGATATATGACTAACGACTGCTATTTAATTTGTTTACATATATTTTGATATGGTTGTTTAATAGACATAGATATTTTTTGTCCTATTCATTCCAAAAAAGTAAAAAACACTGGACTTTTTTTTTTGGAATGACTATGACCTGGATGACTGGGAATCTTCACCAGCATATTTTCTAGGGATGCACGATATTGGGATTTTGGCCGATATCCGATATGCCGATATTTTAAAACTCATGTAGCCGATAGCCGATATCGATACCGATGTTAAAGCTGGACAAAAATAAGTAGTCATTGAAAATAGCAGTTTTGTTACCCATTTCTGACACTTTGTAAAATGATA